TCTTTAAGACAGGGGTGGGGAACCTCCGGCCTCCGGGCCGTATACGGCCCACGAGACCATTTGGTAACGCCAGAACGCCGCTCCGGCACTTGAGAAATTGCAGTAGGCCTACCCATAAGGAGCCGTACACATGCCGCAGTTTTTGCGTGGCTGTGTCTTTAGTTGAAAGCCCAGTGGGCGATCTGTTCATCTGTCATACTGATCATACAGTCAATAACTTTGTTGTTTTTAGCATCTGGTTAGCTAGCTATGCTAACGAATATAAGAAGCTTTTTCTCCAACCAGTGAGGTAAAGGCACATCTTTATCATCATCTTTATTTATTTTAATTTGTATTTATCTGTTGTTATCTTGTTTTACTTGCTTGTAAGCGCTTTGAGCACCAGGAAAAGCGCTTTATAAATGTAATGTATTATTATTATTATTATTATTATTGATATGATCATTATAAAAAAATAAGACAATAAAGTAAACAGGTATAAAATACTGTATGACAGTAAAACAAAGTTGTTATTAATAAAGAAGAATACAGTTTGAAAGGGGAGTGATTTGTAAAATATCCATAAAGAAAAAGAAAATCTGCTTACAGTTCTGTTTCAAATGGGTGTTGAGAGATGTATCCATAGATCTCTTCATGTTGCTCTCAAAGTGCACCAGATTGATGGCTTTAACTTCAATATTTAAAAACAAATCTTCCCGTGGGAGCATGCCCCCCGGACCCCCCTAGAGGCATGCATGCATGCGCGAGTCATGGTGAGATATCTGGATTAAGAGGTTGCTTTTTCTTTGCACAGCATGAAAGAAAGGCCAAATGAATGGGCTGTGATTTTAGTTTTTTTAAGCAGAGGTCAATAATTTGTACGGCCCTCGGAGGATGTTGAAAAAATTGAAATGGCCCTCGAGAGGAAAAAGGTTCCCCACCCCTGGTATAGGTGCACATTGATGTTTTGCAGATATCTAATAGTAAGAATGTATTCTAGAGTATTGAGGTTAAGGTAAAGGAATACAGCGGCTGTTTCACATTTTAAAAAGACACTTGTTTAAATGAAAGGATAGTATGGCTTTAATGATTTCACTCCTGAAACATACATATATCATTGACGTATGCATATTGTTTTAAGTTGATGCAGCTGTGTCTAGTAGCCTACTACTGCCCAGACAAATGTTATCTTAGGGCCAATAAAGCATATCTTTTCACATCTTAAGCTACATTTAATATAGAATGAAGATGACACAGTAGTGGACTATTTCATAAGGTGGCGGCAATTGAACTGTTGCCGGCTGGCTGCCGTAAAATGACAAAGAAGAAGAAGAAGTTAACGCGAGAACTGAGCCCACCGGGCGGCGGCTAAATTGTAGCTGTGCTAACTAGTTAGCATACTGGCTGCAGCAATACCTGTGAGCGGAAGAAGAAAAAAAAGTCTGAATAAAATGAAATCCTAACGCTAACAACACAGGGGTTTTTTTTTATTAAACATTAGCAGCAGAGTCTAAATTAGATAGCAAAACGAGAACGAGATTGCTAAGTCATAAAGGCAGGGGCTTCTAGCATAAGCCAACGTTAGCAACGGCTATCATTAGCTTAGCATTTAGCAAAGGCCTCAGTTAGAACTCACTGACATTTAAGTTACGGTTATCTGCAATTCTACATGGAAAAATAACAAACAGGTACTGCCACTTTAATCTTTGACAACATTGTGGTTACGGGACTCACAGCGAGTTCTTGTTTCCTCTTCACCAGCTCGGCGAGCTCCCGGCGGGTGTCCGGGATCTGTGGTGGAGTCGCTTTCGCATGCATCGCCATGATGGATCGAGCTATCTGGAAACAAAACAGAGGCGGGCCGGTATAAAGCGCCTGTTAGTCGGCCATTTTACCAACAGGTGGGGCTAAAGGACCGCGTCAGGGCCATCCATCCACTGTGTTTACATCGCCATGGAAACACGATAAGATTTGCTGACTTTCTGCGTCTTCACTGAACCATGGGCATAATGGACCGAAGATTTGATGAAAGTGAGTCCAAGTGAGCACTTTATTTCATTTTAACTAATAAGTACAACATTAAAAATTAATATTTTAATTTTAAAGCAGAAACGGTTCCAGCTTACATCGTTTCATCTCAATTTCCAACAACATACCAAAGACTGGTGAAAGCAAATCAAGAAGTTAAAGGATTTTCATCTCAAGCTAGGAGATTCCCTTCAAACAAATGTCTGGTAGGGACTCTCCAACCCTCACTTTAAATCAGCTAAAAACAAAACTATATAAACAATATTAACATTATGCTTTGGTTTCAGAATGAAAGTCCAGGACCAGGCAGTTATGTATCTATTTCCAGTGCGGAAGTCCAAAGTCCCTCCTTCTCCAAAAAAGGCACCACAGGCTTTGTTGGATACAAGGTCAGGTCCCCAAAATGAATGTGCAATGGTATAGGAATTCAGTGGTCAATTAAAAATTAAAAAGTCCTACTTATTGCAAATATTTTATCCTATTTGTCGATTACGTAATTGAGTATCTAATTAAACATACATGTCTGTAAAGATTTCCCAACATGACAGTCTATATGGTGTCCTTTAACTGCTTAAATCCCCACACAAAATACAAATTACATGATAACAGTGATATTTTATGACCCTGAAACTCTGAAATGTTGCTTATCGCCTGTGAATATACTCAATATGTTTCTAGTTGGAGCATTATTCGTATCATCCTCTCCCATAGACTACCAGGGGTCCTGGTAACCCACAGAGATGCACCCCAGGACCGAATGTCTACACCCTGCCAAGCTCCTTGGTAAACAAGAACAAGTTCAACGTAGGAGTCTCCAGGGTGTTCAGGCTGCCCGTGGCTGTGCAGAAGGATGGTCCGAAGCACCCAACTCCAGCCCCGAATCAATATGATGTATGAGAATAATGCAAGGTGCTTTTAAATAATGTGTTTTGCATCCTGTAGTTAACTTATATTTTTAATTTTGTTGCTTTTGTGACAGGTCCGTTGTAGCAGCAGAGGGGGCTTCTCCTCAGGGTTTGGCACATCAACTTTCCTGTCAAAAACTAAACGGGACTCTATTTACTTAAACAATGATTTGCCATCACCATGTAATTACCTCTCTATTAAAGATCATGCATAATATTTGTTTTAATATTTCTGTCTTAATATTATTTGTCTTACATCATACGTTTGTTGAAGGCCACTATGAAGTACGCAGCAATATAATCCAGCAAAGCTCCAAAGCAGTCGTGTCCCCTTTCAAATCAAAAACTCAGAGAATCCCTCCTCCGGTTGACTACCATGTACCAGGCCCAGGAGCCTACAGCCCCCATCAGCCCCCTGCACCGGTGAAGAAGACCATTCTGCCGTGAGTAAACAAACCATATTTATCTGACTGGTTATGTTGACTAGTTCATTATTTTTCAATAATCTAACAATGTCAATTCTGTGAACTGTGTTTCAAGGAGAGGATTTTATTTGGCAATATCAGCACCTCCTCTGATTGTCCCTAAGGACCCTCCCTTTCCAGGCCCGGGGCATTATGACATAAGGGATAAAAACTGCCTGTATCCCAAGCCAACTGCAGCGTTTGCATCCAGAACTGAAAGGATACCCCAAGACTCACTGGGTGGCATGACGCCAGGACCAGGTAATGCCTAAAAAACAATCAAATCCACTAAATGAAACATCAACACATTCATGCATTTCACAGGACATTTCGGTTATTGGTAATATGTGCTTTTATTTGTTTAAATACAAACACACAAGCAGGTGATTATAGGATATTTCCAGTGCAGATACAGATAACCTTTTGACTCACTAACACCACATAAAAACTTCAGCTTGTATTATCTATCCAGTGAAACCAAATCATTTTTTACATTTCATATACAATTGAAATATATGAAATTGTTGCTGATTTGTATGTCTTTAAATAAAAACACAAGTATAAGATTATGCTTTAAATATGCAGCCCCTCTCTGGGAGCAGTTGAAATTGAGTGTTGGAAATGTTGGAAACTGCTGACTTAAGTATATGTAAATGAGGCAGGGAAAGAAGTTGCACATACACATTTAATGACAACATTTCACCATAAAATTACTCAGAGAAGCTTCTAGATATTTAACCCTATCAGTCTCACTCTTTAAGTCTCAATGCTTATCTAAATTAAATATTTTTTTCTAATGATATCAATCATGCTCACTTAAATTAGTCTTAGTTGCATGTCATTATAATGGCATGGAAAACATGTCTACATTATTTATTGATTGAATTGCATTGGTAAATAATTTACATTCTTGGGGTTTGACCCCTTGACACCGATGATGTCAGAAGGTGATTGAGGTGACTGGAGTGAAGTTTTGTTGTTATACTTTCACATGTGTTATTTATCTGCTATGATGGTGCACACATCGCTGTTGATTACATCACAAACCACACAGATTGGTTATATTACGCTATCACAACCGACGCCCTCAGAATTTAGTGTGATTTATAACTGGGTTTTTCCAGGTAAACCCACATTTTATATACGTTTTGTTCAACACAATTGTTAATGCAACTATTCCCATTGAATATAACCTTAAGAAAATGTGCAAAGCATCTTTATTTAAAGCCAATAAGTGACCTGTGGGTAAATTCCTCCCTTACATTTCACATGTCATGGTGTCTATTTTTCTGAAATAATGTTCTCTAGCTATAGAAAGACATGTATGTATTCTTAATTATATTATTTTAATTGCTGGTGAGATTGCTAATATAAAAGCAGTAAATAATTCATCTCCCTCTTTCAGGTTTCTACGATCCACAGATTTTGCCAAAGCAGTCCTTCTTTTTTAACGACTCCAGAGTCTGGCTTCCTGTATGAAACGTTCAAGGTCATCTATACTGCAGACATGTACATTTCTCAGACACATGAACTGTGATTATCTGTTTCAAAATGCTTCTATGCAAGGTATGTGTTTCTAAGTATTTGTCGAGAAGAAACAATGAAAATTAAATGTTTGCAACCATTTAGTCTCTATTTCCATGTTTAAGTATACCAAGTAGAAGATATTTTAGAGGTTGAATCATATACTGTATTTATCCATATCTGATGCTCCACTCTGGAGATGATATAGCAGCGAGCGTTGCCGCGGTCGCAGACAGCTGCTTGTCGGTCAGTGGTACGCCTCAATAACAGCTGAGAGCTTGAGATGACACCATTGTGCCAACTGCCGGAGGGCAGGCGAGGGGTGGAGAGTGACTGTATGTGAGCAATGTGACTGAGCGGGCATGGGGCAGGGATGGTGTTCACCCAGAAAGACAAATGTACACATTCGTCATCAGCCTACATCAGATGTTATATTGTTGGGACAGTTACTTTACACTTCTCTGACCCCACTTTGCTGGCAATTTTACATTTTGGGATAATGCTTGTTTGCTTTCAGGCCTAGAGTTAGACAAGCATATTGATACCTTGACATTTGTTTTTTAAATACAGCTATAATCAAGTTTTACATCATACAAATATATCAGTAGATGTGGAAGAGTTTGCTTGTCGTGATGAACTGGCAGGTATTTAATACCTGCATCTGCAATTCCTCTAGTTTATAGTGAGTTTTGGTCCATTGCTTCGCTGTCATGCTGCAACTTTATTGTTTTGGCTCTTTCTCATGGCTCTCGCATAGTTTTTGGCTGAAGCTGACAGCTGTTAAAGAAAAAAAAGCTACACACATTCACTGTACACTACCTAGTCAGCAGCAAACAGCAGCAGACACAGATAGAGAGCTGCTGGGGGAAAGAGTTGAACATTAAGCAGCTAAAGAGACAGATTGATTTCGTAAGGAGGTGGTGGAGACCAAAACCAGAGCAAAAAGAGACTGAATGTTTGACTTTCATTCATCAGGTGAACACAAACACGATTCAAATGATGATCATCATCATGACGTGCTTGTATACACATATCACCTGCAATAACTGCTTTTTTATATAATTACACACACGCTGTTTATGTATATTAAAAAGACGTTATTGCACCTTATATGTCAGCCTTTGCCTTTAAATAAATGTGTGTGAATGCTTACTTATGCTGTTGGAAAGCAACAACAAAAAAACATGATTTAAAAAAGGACTGTTTCTTGACCCCGGTAAATTGCTGCAAGTTTCTTGGCAACTGCAAATTATAATTTTTACACTTTTGCAAACAAGATATAATGTTTCAATGAGTCAGTTTAAGGGGTGCTTTAATGTGTTTCTTTGTTAGCTGTCAACCGAGCCAGGCTAGCTGTTCTTCAGAAGTAGCTCCATATTTGCCACATATTTATGGATTTGGTGTCAATCTTCTCATCCAACTCTCTGTCACAAAATGTTTTCATTTTTCACTAGAGTGATGAACACGCTGGCATTTTCAGTTTTTAAGATTCAGTTGTTAACATGGAAAGAGGAAATATGATGCTCATTTTCAGGTGCATACTTACGTATTTTGGGTTTCTAATAGAACATGTTAACATGCTTTAATGTTCAGAAAACTCATTATTTTTCTCATACGGTCTATCTGAATATACCTGTCGTTTGGGCCTGTACCTGAAGCCCCCTGTTTTCATTTCAGGCAGTAATGACTGTGATGACACTCCAGTGTAATTTTCTATATTTGACAGAAGTCCTTACATCTTATTTAAAGGCACAGTTTCCCGTCTGCATTTTTATTCAGCGTTTATATAATGTAGGCCCTTCACTGTCATAGAGCGGTGTGCTGTGTGGGAATGACAACCTAGTGCCAAAGAGTTGCTATTTATACTTCAAGCTTTTATCCATGTGCAAAGAATGGAAAACCGTGTGTCATCTGCTCGCAAGGAAATCAGTTGGGGACGTTTCCCCAGCTCTGCACTCGATAACCACACCAACTGCAGACATGTTTGACTCCCACACTGCAGCAGCTGTAGTTATATTCAGACTCTGACTTCAGCAGTGTGCTCTCCAAATATGTGTACTTGCCTTGTAAAATCAAGCCATTGTGCACTTGGGTTTTTTTTTACAATAAGAGGAGCATTTTATAACTCCATTTGTAGACCGAAATGTGCTCTCCCCCTCAGGTGCAAAGCGTAGGGAGGATCTGGAAATGTAACTGCAGGCTTTTTAGCTTAGTGGTTGCCTTTGTGGTTGTGTGTAGGAGGGGCAATTAACCGCATGCTTCTATGGGTTTATGGGAGGCTCTCTGAACCTCCCCATGTCTCACTCAGGTGTAGGCGAGTATGGACATGCACCCCTCAAAAGAAGCCTCATTGAGAAAGTTCTTTGTTTCAGGAGACATTCATACATGCGGATGGAATAACTTTTCCATCAACCTCCACTGATTTAAAACCTTATTCATTCATTTAGGTGGTCTATAAAGGTGTATTACGTAAGATGATTCCCTCAATGATACCAATTATAGAGAGAGCTAATAAAAGTAATTTGTCTAGCTAAAGTGACGCTGTCTGCGTAAGAGCTAACTGTGTCAATTTATATCTGTTGCTTGGCAGTACACCAGTGGTTTGCAGGCACAATTTGTTCTACTGTGTTTTCATGAGTCTTGCATAAAACATTCAAGACACATGGTGCATGTATTGAGTCATGGAGAATCCAGGATATGAGGAAAACAAAAAGAAATCCTGTTCGTCCATCCGATTTTGTTTTTTAGCCATGCCAGTGGATTTTGGGATAACAATGATTGCCCAGTAATATTCATTCTGCTGCAGTGTGTGCTAGATGTGACCTGAGAGGATCATAAAAGGTTAGTCTGTTTATCGTTTCTCTGCAGTCTGTGTATGAATACGTCACCAGTGAAACAAACAGTCCCTTCACTGATGAAGATGCGCTGTGATTAATTAGGTCATTTATTTATTTTGAGGTTATAGCCTTAAGAATGAATACATCCGGCCCCTTCTCTCTTCTGTAACACATGACTCACAGTAGTACAAAAACACCACAAGTTCACAGTGTGATCCGAGTCATGAAGTTTCCTTTAACTCATGTGATATCTTATTTTTCTAGTAATGGCTGACATGGAAGAAAAGCAACAAATACTTCAGTACTTATATGGCAGTATAACTTATAGAGGTTAAAGGGGTCCTATTTGGCCTTTTCTCATTCCTATGTTATATAGGTTTTTGTGCATGTAAATGTTCTGCAAAGGCTAACCTCGCACTTCTATTGGCTAGTGCTCTAACACATTGTACATGATAGGCTAAGGGGCGGGACATTCTTAAGCGGTTCATCTATCGCAACATAGCAGGCCAGCAAACCAATCAGAGCAGACTGGGTTCTGGTTTCAGACAGAGGGTGAAAAGAGGTGCTGCAGCGCAGGCAGTATGAGAAAAATAAATAGCTTTTTGAACATTAAAGCATGTAAACATGTCACAGTAGAGGACATAAATACAAATATGATCTTAAAATGAACACAATAGGGACCCTTTAAGGAGGAGACAAAGGTCATTATGCAGACGAACAAGATATGGAGGGTTTATTGAGCGCTGCCTGCCTTTTTCTCAACTGCTGTATTACATTTCCTGCCCTTGCGTTTCGAAATCCCGTAACTTGGTCAACAAATCATTTTTAACCTCCACACTCCCTAACAGGCACCGACAGTAAGATCCACCTCCATTAGGCGATTGAATCGCCTCCCTTCCCCTTTCATGTGTCACAGGGAGGCGAGTAGGATTGATTGGCAGTGTTTCAGCACATCACTGGCTATCTTTAGCCGCCATGTACCACATTTATAGGAAAAATAAAATAAGGTTTCATTGGCAACATTTCTATTTAGGCCGAACTATAAGGAAAACGAAAGAGGTCTATATTGCAATAACCGAAGAGTCCTTAGGTCTGTAAGTCCTTGGTGTCTTCAGCAGCTAAGTGGGTCATGCATTTTTTTATCTCTGTAGTAAAGCTCACATACATTTGCCCTTTTAGCATTAAGCATACTTCCAACTTCACGTTGGTTTCTGCACTAAAGAGAAAAATAAGCATTGGAGAATTGTTATTTTGCTTTTAAACATAAATATTGCATTCAGTGTCCTTTACGTCATGTAGATTTCTTTTTTTAAAGGCATGAGGAAACGGATGACCTCATCCATAATTAATATGTTTTATTTTTATTCAAATGACCAAAAAAAGTCTACTGGGTGTAATTCTGTCTAGACTATTTTTAAAATCCTTCTATTTAAATATTAATGAATGGCACTGCCCCTCCAACCTGCAAGGCCACTTTTGACCCTCATTTCAACATGAAAATCATTGATGTACACCTACAATATATTTCATCTTCCCGGATTGAGTCAATGTATTTTGATCAAGCAGCCCTCCAATAAAGAGTATTTGATACTGCTATGGTGCCATATACATGTTTTACTGGGATATGGTTTGTTTCTTTAAGATGAATTTATTCATCCTCATGCTGCTTCTCTTTTTATCAGGTAAGACATGGGCAACAGACTTCGTCCAGGAAGACTGACCTCCTCTGTCTCCTGCAGTGGCAGGAAGGTCAAGTCAACTGTTCATTAGTATGTCGTCTCCAATATGTCATCATGAGACAATGCCCTGACACTTTGTATACACGGGAAAGATGATTAAAGCCTGTAGAATGTAGCATGCTGTGCTTCTACAGTATACTGCATTCTACAGGCTTCAATCATCCCAGTGTATATCCCTATGTTAAGTAGGATTGTTTATCTCTTTATTGGTACATTTATAAAGCTACTTGAAGGTGATTGGGGACAATATAACATCTAATCACGATTGCATTAGAACAATAAAATGTTTTTTTTCTTTTTCTAATGCAACTGTTACTACTGATAATGAATATATAAATACTCCCTTTAATTACGCATACAATGCGCTTTCTCGATGTTATGACAACTCACCTCTTTCCAGGCAGCGGTCTGTTTTCAGCTGCTGGAAATCATCTGATGGATGAAACCATTAACGGGGTCCAAGAGGACCCCTTTGTGCCATTACTGGTGTTGAAACCAAAGAAAAATTCCTTACAGCGACACAT